CTGATTTATTTCATTACGGCCCTGCCATGCGATGGCCTGATACGAGTGTGTTTGAAGCCAAATCCATACGGAAGTGAGAGGCCAAGAGCTCAATGTGGTGGATTTGGTGGGGAGATTCCAGATTTACGCGGATTAGAGGGAAGCCCCTGCGTGTCAGCATGTGATGGACTCCCCATAGCCTTGTTGTGAAACCATCATATTTCCGCTGATGGGCCTTGATGGCCCTGGTGGGCTGTCCCGGCTCTCCTTGCTCACTCCCAAATCAAACAAAAGAACAGCTGAAGCAGTAGTTTAAGGAATGAACCAGAGCCATTCAAGCCAAAAGTGAAATTTTATCAAACTTCCTTGGTACTGACAGGTATTTAAGGTTGCTCATGCTGCCGATGGTGGATGGAATAGACCCATTCAGCTTGTTATACCATAGAGACCTGAGGATGTACACACACGCACAGAGTTCCATCCGAGAAATAAGAGGGATACAGCAAGTGGTTGGGGGGAGAGGAAAGTGGAAATGGAGTCTAAACAGACCGTGAGAGTTGAACATGTAAGATTACAACTTACACACACACTCTAATAGGCGGTGTTGGAAGTGGGAGATGTTACGCCCAGATTTGAATGTCACTCAAGGTACCCGTTCTAATAGGTTGCCTCCAACTGTGAGCAAACACATGTTTTCTATACTTCAATTTTGGCTTTGTAACACATTTTTGTAAAGAGCAGACATCAGAAGAATGGACAACAGGAGATAACATAAGAGGCAATGTTCTTAATGTTACACAAGCACACCAAAGCAACAGTGAAGCCTATAGCGGTAGTGAAGCAACAGTATGCAGGCAAATTTATGGTTGAAGAAGCTATTCCAAGGGGGAATACTCACTCCCACATTGGTGAGTCAGAGGCAGGATTCCATAGCTCTAGAGGGAATGTGTGAGCTCAAAAGTGATACTAGGGCTGGTTGGATAATTGTTTATGCTCACGAATTCACAGGTGCGGATCTTTTTCAGCTGGTAATTGAGTGGGCGTTTGAACAGGTTGACCTTCAGAAGGGGGATTATGTCAGCTAGACATGAGCACTTTTCCAAACCTCAAACAGGTTCAGGTCGAACATGTTCGTTTCAAACATGTTCGAACCTTCTTTTTTGGAAATACGGTTTGCCCGAACATGTTCGGGGTTCGAAAAGTTTATGGGGACAATTCCCGAACACCAAACATGTTCGGGGACCGTCCCCACTTTTCCGAACATCAGATGATTGGAAAAACCCAGCGCAACATTTGTCGCGCTGGTTGGATGTAAGTCCTACGGAAACCATAGTTCGAGTTCATTTCGACCTCGATCTACTTTTTTTGGTAGTTCACAGCAGTAAGGAGCAGCAGGCTCATTTCCAGCTCATTTCCACCCAACTTAACGGTTACTTTAGGTAACTTAGGTTAATTAGTCGTTAGTCGTTAGTTAGGTAACTAGACCCTGCTTGTCTACAATGGACGAGCCACGAGCTTAGTCAGCTGGCTGACTGGCTCGTCAGCCCACTGGCTCATGGCAACTTGAACCAAGTCGGCTTATCTTAGACCTATGCTCATGCCTATCTTTCATGCCTTCTCTGAACACATTCCTTATGGTGGCAAATGCTGAAAGCCACAAATTTGGTCTCTTAATCATGAGGCTTCCTAGGATTGTGGCGGAACAAAGCTCAGTTCAACTCAAACAAACGAGCCATAGCTATCAAAGTGAGAATAATGCCCACCACAAACCCTCTCAATTCCATCTCGATAATGTCTAGCCATGTAGGCATAAACCATACTGGCTTAGTTTCAGCTCTTGCTCTCGCTAATTTTGAAACTAATATGGTTCTCATAAACTTCCAACCATACACTCTGATGGGCCTCAATGAAAGCGGAGCTTGGGTCTAAAGCGGGCCAAAACGGCCCGACCCGGACCGCACCTCGAGACAGGCCGGCCCGGTCCGCCCCGAAATGGGCGGGCCAAAAGAAGGCATCCGGCCCGACCCGACCCGATTTGGCCGGGCCAAGCAGGTTTCCGGGTCGGGTCGTCGGGCCGACCCCAGGCCAGGAGGTTGTATACCCTGACCCGACCCGGGGGTACAGGGCCGGTTCTTTCCTGGCCCGACATCGCGTCGGGCCGACCCGAGGTCGGCTCGGGTCAGGAAACCGCTCTCACCTATGCACTGCGCAGATCTACGATTTTGCCCGTCGATCTGCACAGATCAGGAATTTTGCCCGTCGATCTGCGCAAATCAGGAATTTCGCCCGTCGATATGCGGAAATCGACGAATTCGTTGCGATCTCTGTAAACATCAGGATTTTGCCTGTATAGATCTCTAGACATTCATCCTCTGGACATAGTTGACTAGTACTTGCCTAAAAACTAGGATTTATGGGCTGATGGTTAGTTAGGTTGTGGGACTGATGTTGAGTGGAAAAATGTCGCCTCGACATCGACTTTAGGGGTCGTCCAAGTGTCGAAACCGGGTCGGGTCAAAGCCCGACCCAGTTACCCTGTTTTTGACCCAATTCCGAGTAGGCATGATCATCCTGCCCCGGCGGGTCGGGTCGACCCGACCCGGCCCGGGTTTTGACCCGGGTCGGGTCAGGCATTTTGAAGCGCTGACCCGGCCGGGTCGGGTCGGGTTTACCCGGTCGGGTCGGGTCGACCTGACACCCGAAACCGGGTCGGGTCGGGTCGGGTCAGATTTAGACCCGAAGTCGTACCCGACCCGGTTTCGGGTACCGCGCCCTAAGTCGGGTCGAGTATTTGGCCCAACCCGACTTTTCCTCCCTCGACAAGTTGCACTAAAGCAGATCGCGAAGTCAATGTCTAGGGTTTGTTTGTTCCCTCGACATTGACATTCCCTCGACAAGTTGCACTAAAGCAGATCGCGAAGTCAATGTCTAAACCCTAGACCGGAGCTGCTGTAGTAATCCATTACCTAACAGCTGCTGTAGTAGGTCATCGTCAAATTAAAGAGGAAGAAATCGAACGCAAAGATTATTGAAGGGAAAAGCGGCCTGACATTGAGTGAGTCTGGTAGAAGTTGGCAACAAATTGGATGGGGTGAAGGTGGGTTGTGAGCGGTGGACAAGAGGGAATGATCCACCAACAATCTCGAAATTCAGATCTGAAGTTGCTTTAGCAACGCGCGAACTCAGATCTGAATTTCGAGACTCAAATTTGAGTTCGCCAGATCGCGAACTCATCTTTTTTTTTCTGGTCAGCCCGAGCCAAATTTGGCGAATTTTAGAAAAATCCGCAGCGTACGAATTCTAGATGCGTATAAACTCAATACGCAACTTGAAACTAGCGTTATTTCCAACTTAGGAACCTCTTACCCTGCATATGAGGTCCTGGCCCGACCCGACCCGACCCGGCCCCTACCCGACCCGACCCGGGGGCGGGTCACGCCTGACCCAGCACCCGATACCCGGCTCGGGCCAGGATTTTTTGAAGTTTCGACCCGACCCGACCCGACCCGGAACCCGGCTGGCCCGCCCAAGTCGGGTCGGGTCGGGTCGGGTCGGGCCTAATGATCATGCCTAATTCCGAGTCTCGGGTCAAAGTCGGCCTAAGGCCCGACCCAACCGACCCGACCCGACCAGACCCGAAATTCAACGTTGGGTCGGGTTTTTGCTCGGCCCGGACAGACTCGACCCGGCTAGGCCAGGACATTGGAAGTCCTGAGCCGACCCGCCAAAAACTGGGGTTGGGTCAGGGCCTTTCGCTCATGCCTAGCCAAAAACGGGCTGCCGATGGCCCGGCGGACCAGGACTGCCCGGCCCACTTCGGGCCAACAGCCCAACTTAGAGGTTTGGCCCGGGGCAGTTTCGGGGCAGTGCCGACCCGGCAGGGCCTAGCCCGCCCCCGTGCTCAACCCTACTGTACAGCACTACACTTATTTATCATACAACACAGGGGTGTGAAATTAACCAGAACCACATGGACTGAGGTTTCACTTCAAAGGTTGGTGGCTCTGCTAGATGTGGCAGAAGGTGTCGCTCTCTTCATCACAAAAATGTGTGTGTCTGAATATCATCTGACATTCGCGGCGGCCAATCGTACGTTTGACAATCGTTTGAAAAACGTACACGGAAACTCTAAAAAACGTTTGCCTTTGGCGGGATGTTTTCTAGGCACATTCTGAATGTTTGCTCCTAACTCTTTCTTGCTTGTGCGCAGGATTAGGGTTCCGGGCCTAACAGATAGTCGAGCATGTCACTTCGTGTGGGATTAGATAGCGAGAAATTTTATTCTCTCCTAGAATTCCTCGTTTAGGCTTTTGTGTACCATTTGTTACATTCTTGACATTTGCACTTATGTTTCTTTGAATATGATGATGTAATTTTCTCTATGAAAATAGTGTTTCCAAGAGTTATGTTTAACCATTTGATGGAAATTTTACACCTATTAGATTCTAACAAGGCCTAAAAATAACATAGTCAGAGAACAATTTCATGTTTACAAAAGTCACAATGCGTCCAAGTTCTCTACCTTCGCTAGACCTCACCAAACGAATCTATTAAGAAGGCTCACTTCATCGTCCTCACATGAGGGAACAATGTGTACGAGACTGAGAATGCAGTCGACATCAATCACTGCAAAATCATCCTCGCCCTCCGTGGGTAGAAGGCGCTTGCATCCCGTTGACGGGCATAGTCGCTTGTCCTCGGTGTAGTACTCCACGTATGCTCCGCGCCTCAGCTCCCCATCTTTGTTGTAGTGAAACAGGACAAGACAACGGCCGTACCAGGGGGACCCCTTCCCTGCAGGGTTGATTGCAACGGATGAGAAGTTCTTCTCGCCCGGGCTTGCCTTAACAAACTGCCCCCTTGACGTCCATTCCATCTTGTCGTGGGGCGGAATCGCAAGTGCCGTGTGCACCTGAAACCACGAGCATGAACCAAGAGAATGTGAACGCAGCGAAAGAGGCGGTGGAGAGCATAGCGAAAGGAGGAAATTGGCCAAGGGCTGGAGGGGGTGGAAAAGCATTTTAGAGAGGGTGAAGGGGGGCTGGAGTGAGTGGAAAGCATGCAGGAGAGGGGGAAGGGGCGCTGGAGTGAGTGGAAAGCATGCATGAGAGGGGGAAGGGGGGCTGGAGTGGGCGGAAAGCATGCAGGAGAGGGGGAAGGGGGGCTGGAGTGAGTGGAAAGCATGCAGGAGAGGGGGAAGGGGGGCTGGAGTGAGTGGAAAGCATGCAGGAGAGGGGGAAGGGGGGCTGGAGTGGGTGGAATGCATGCATGAGAGGGGGAAGGGGGGCTGGAGTGAGTGGAAAGCATGCAGGAGAGGGGGAAGCGGGGCTGGAGTGGGTGGAAAGCATGCAGGAGAGGGGGAAGGGGGGCTGGAGTGAGTGGAAAGCATGCAGGAGAGGGGGAAGCGGGGCTGGAGTGGGTGGAAAGCATGCAGGAGAGGGGGAAGGGGGGCTGGAGTGAGTGGAAAGCATGCAGGAGAGGGGGAAGCGGGGCTGGAGTGAGTGGAAAGCATGCAGGAGAGGGGGAAGGGGGGCTGGAGTGAGTGGAAAGCATGCAGGAGAGGGGGAAGGGGGGCTGGAGTGAGTGGAAAGCATGCAGGAGAGGGGGAAGGGGGGCTGGAGTGAGTGGAAAGCATGCAGGAGAGGGGGAAGCGGGGCTGGAGTGAGTGGAAAGCATGCAGGAGAGGGGGAAGCGGGGCTGGAGTGGGTGGAAAGCATGCAGGAGAGGGGGAAGGGGGGCTGGAGTGAGTGGAAAGCATGCAGGAGAGGGGGAAGGGGGGCTGGAGTGAGTAGAAAGCATGCAGGAGAGGGGGAAGGGGGGCTGGAGTGGGTGGAAAGCATGCAGGAGAGGGGGAAGGGGGGCTGGAGTGAGTGGAAAGCATGCAGGAGAGGGGGAAGGGGGGCTGGAGTGGGTGGAAAGCATGCAGGAGAGGGGGAAGGGGGGCTGGAGTGAGTGGAAAGCATGCAGGAGAGGGGGAAGCGGGGCTGGAGTGAGTGGAAAGCATGCAGGAGAGGGGGAAGGGGGGCTGGAGTGAGTGGAAAGCATGCAGGAGAGGGGGAAGGGGGGCTGGAGTGGGTGGAAAGCATGCAGGAGAGGGGGAAGGGGGGCTGGAGTGAGTGGAAAGCATGCAGGAGAGGGGGAAGCGGGGCTGGAGTGAGTGGAAAGCATGCAGGAGAGGGGGAAGCGGGGCTGGAGTGGGTGGAAAGCATGCAGGAGAGGGGGAAGGGGGGCTGGAGTGAGTGGAAAGCATGCAGGAGAGGGGGAAGGGGGGCTGGAGTGGGTGGAAAGCATGCAGGAGAGGGGGAAGGGGCGCTGGAGTGAGTGGAAAGCATGCAGGAGAGGGGGAAGCGGGGCTGGAGTGGGTGGAAAGCATGCAGGAGAGGGGGAAGCGGGGCTGGAGTGAGTGGAAAGCATGCAGGAGAGGGGGAAGCGGGGCTGGAGTGGGTGGAAAGCATGCAGGAGAGGGGGAAGGGGGGCTGGAGTGAGTGGAAAGCATGCAGGAGAGGGGGAAGCGGGGCTGGAGTGGGTGGAAAGCATGCAGGAGAGGGGGAAGGGGGGCTGGAGTGAGTGGAAAGCATGCAGGAGAGGGGGAAGGGGGGCTGGAGTGGGTGGAAAGCATGCAGGAGAGGGGGAAGGGGGGCTGGAGTGAGTGGAAAGCATGCAGGAGAGGGGGAAGGGGGGCTGGAGTGAGTGGAAAGCATGCAGGAGAGGGGGAAGGGGGGCTGGAGTGAGTGGAAAGCATGCAGGAGAGGGGGAAGCGGGGCTGGAGTGAGTGGAAAGCATGCAGGAGAGGGGGAAGCGGGGCTGGAGTGAGTGGAAAGCATGCAGGAGAGGGGGAAGGGGGGCTGGAGTGAGTGGAAAGCATGCAGGAGAGGGGGAAGGGGGGCTGGAGTGAGTGGAAAGCATGCAGGAGAGGGGGAAGGGGGGCTGGAGTGAGTGGAAAGCATGCAGGAGAGGGGGAAGCGGGGCTGGAGTGAGTGGAAAGCATGCAGGAGAGGGGGAAGCGGGGCTGGAGTGGGTGGAAAGCATGCAGGAGAGGGGGAAGGGGGGCTGGAGTGAGTGGAAAGCATGCAGGAGAGGGGGAAGGGGGGCTGGAGTGAGTGGAAAGCATGCAGGAGAGGGGGAAGGGGGGCTGGAGTGGGTGGAAAGCATGCAGGAGAGGGGGAAGGGGGGCTGGAGTGAGTGGAAAGCATGCAGGAGAGGGGGAAGCGGGGCTGGAGTGGGTGGAAAGCATGCAGGAGAGGGGGAAGCGGGGCTGGAGTGAGTGGAAAGCATGCAGGAGAGGGGGAAGGGGGGCTGGAGTGGGTGGAAAGCATGCAGGAGAGGGGGAAGCGGGGCTGGAGTGGGTGGAAAGCATGCAGGAGAGGGGGAAGCGGGGCTGGAGTGAGTGGAAAGCATGCAGGAGAGGGGGAAGGGGGGCTGGAGTGGGTGGAAAGCATGCAGGAGAGGGGGAAGGGGGGCTGGAGTGGGTGGAAAGCATGCAGGAGAGGGGGAAGGGGGGCTGGAGCGGGTGGATTCGGCGGAAGTGCGAAAAAATGGCATATCCATACGACCGGGACTGCACCTGCAAAACTTGCGTGTTGATGCCTGCCCGTCTGAGGCGCAGAACCAACGCACTCATGGCGGGTTCACCAACAGTCAAGACGTAGCTCCGAAACACTGAGTCGGTGATGTCCCCCAGGACCATCTTCTTGTGGGTCTTAGTAAGCACCCTCCGGCCAGCCAGGCATGCCTGTCATCGTGGAGAGGAGAGGGTTGGTATAGGGAGGGGGAGAGTTGTATGGTGAGTGCTTTCGGAGGGAGGAGGAGGGGGGAGATAGGGGATGGATGCGAGGTTTGGGCGAAGGTGAGGGCCAGGGAAAGGGGGAATGGGTGTGGGGGAAAGGGGGGGAGGTTGTGGGGATGAAGATGGGGATGGGGGGGTAGTAATCGATTACTTTGGTTAGGTTGGTCCTAAATGTGATTGCCAACTCACGCAGAGAGCAGGGAAACAGAAATGCGCGCAAAGAGACGGGCGAAGAGAACATGGCATAGAGCAGGGCAGACACTGACGTGAACAAATCAGGGAAACAGTGAAGGGATTAGAGCAGGGCACTGTGCAGGGCAGACACATAACGGAACATGGGGTAACAGTGCAGGGAAAAGAGCAGGGAAACAGAGCAGGGCACCGAGTAGGGGAGACACAGCACGGAACATAGCAGGGTAACATAGCGGATAACAACAAAGGGGAAATGACGAGGGGAACAGAGCAGTGTGAGAGAGCAAGAGAACCGAGCAGGGAAACAGGGTGTAGGAGAGAGCATGAGAACCGAGCAGGAAAACAGGGCAGGGGAGAGAGAAGGAGAACCGAGCAGGGAAACAGAGCAGGGGGAGAGAGCAAGAGTACCGAGCCGAGAAACATAGCAGGGTGGGAGAGCAAGAGCACCGAGCAGGGAAACAGAGCAGCAGAACAGAGTAGGGGAACCGAGCAAGAGAACACAGCAGGGCATCGCTTTAGGAGATCACAGCATCGGTTCAAAATTGGTAAACATACCAGACGACGGGGTGCAGGGGAACAGAGCAGGTCCGTAAAACTCACCTCTTTCATTGAGGTCTCGTACGTGCTGTCCCCGCCGGCCTCCCGCGCGAGTTGCCTAACAACCGCATGCTCCAGGTGTTTCCGGACGATTCGATCTTCAACATTCTTCCAGTTCGTGCCACGTGAAGGACGCTTCACAGTGGTCTTGTGGGAGTGCTCGTAGCAGTTCGACGAGTACTCGGCAGGGATCCCCCGAAGCCGGATGGTTGATGGGAGGTGAACGAGGAGATGGATCTTAACAAGTTTCCACTTTGACTTCTGCTTCGGGAAAGCGACACGAAGAGCCTTCACCATCCTAGGGAGAATTTTAGAGTCAACGCATGCAGTTAAGGGGGGGAATGCAGGCCGAGAAGGGAGAAGCGGGATGCGGGATGGGGAGTGAGGAAGTAGGCTCCGAAAAGAGAAACATGGAAGGAGGGATCAGGAAGGTGGGTTGTATGAGGACAGAGATGCAGTGGAGATGGAGAAGATGGGTCGTGCAAATCCTCAATGGAATGAGGGCAGCCAAAGGTCATGGAGTACTATGGAGCCTGGGGAGGGAAATCATTGCACAGAATGGAGAAAGAGGCGAGTATGAAGGTCAAGCTGGCTGGGAACGGAGCAACAAGCTTGGTAGTGTCCAAACGGGAAACAATGAAGCCTATGAAGGCGAGCCTATGAAGTAGGGTGGGTGGAGCATGTAGGGTACGGGCGAGACAATGAAAATGTGTGTGCGTGGCAATGAAGGGCCTGGGAAACCACAAAACAGACGGAGTAGTTACTTGATGGTGGCGTCTTTCATCCGTTCCAGAGAGGCGTCGGTGTGGTACTCAGCGCGGATAAACTCCTTGTACCACTCGACCATCTTGACAATGGCCGTGCGGATATCTTCTCGTCCTGGGAGATTGATGATGAGGGGCAGGACCTGCATCATCGCCCGATGCTCTGAAGCTGAAAAGCAGGCAGTGGATGTGAAGTAGGCCCACGCCGAAGGAAGACGGAGCACAGACGCTGGTGTGGCCTCCTTCAAAATCTTGTATCGCCTAGACGTAGAGCAACAGTTCGACAGGGCGCGGAAAACAAGCACGGAGGTGAGAAGCATGAAGCAGGGCGCGGAAAGCAAGCACGGAGGGGAGTAGCATGAAGCAGGGCGCGAAAAGCAAGCACGGAGGGGAGTAACATCATGGAGCAGGGCACGGAAAGCAAGCACGGAGGTGAGTAGCATGAAGCAGGGCGCGGACAGCAAGCACGGAGGGGAGTAGCATGAAGCAGGGCGCGGAAAGCAAGCACGGAGGGGAGTAGCATGAAGCAGGGCGCGGAAAGCAAGCACGGAGGGGAGTAACATCATGGAGCAGGGCGCGGAAAGCAAGCACGGAGGGGAGTAACATCATGGAGCAGGGCACGGAAAGCAAGCACGGAGGTGAGTAGCATGAAGCAGGGCGCGGACAGCAAGCACGGAGGGGAGTAGCATGAAGCAGGGCGCGGAAAGCAAGCACGGAGGGGAGTAACATCATGGAGCAGGGCACGGAACAACTCACTCCAAAAGAATCTTCCGTTCTTTCGGAGTCAGCTTCATCACAAGGCACTTCATGGCATGCAGCCATATGCCCTGCTCCCAGATGTGCATGATGTCCGGGGGGACAGCGAGGTACGTGTTGCCCCAGAGAGTTTTTGCGAATTCCCAGTCCCACAAAAGGCTCTGCGTTGGGGGTCAAGGACACAGAGTCACTATGGCGGGTCAGGGTAAGAAATACGAACATCAAGCTGCAGATTGGATTAGGTTTTCAAGCATACTAGCCATTGGTGTATACGGTGAGGGAAACCTGATGTAGACCGCTACGATGCACGCAGTACAAGCGCACCTTCACAAAGTGTGTAGAGGACTTCTTCTTCACTGCCTTCAAGGCCTTTTTGGTCTTCGCGGCTTTCATCTCCTTGTAAAAATCCGTCTGACCCTTGACAGTTCGGAGGACAATGGTGTCTTCCTGCTTCTTTTTGGTTTTCGCAGATTCCTTCTGTCCCTCGACATTTCTGGGGACAATGGTCTCGTCCTGCTCGTCTAGGCGCTTCTTATCAGTTGGCTGTTGAGTCAACTCAAAGTTCATCTCATCCAGGCGCTCCTTTTCAGCCAAGCACAACGAGCACGGATGGTGTGAGTTGCATGCCATCGTACAAGTGATCTTGGAAGACTCCGGGTGATCTGCCACCCAAGAATAAAGGAGCGTGAATGCTCTATACTGCACACCCGCACTGTCTTCCACCATCACACCGCCCCTGCACAGCGGCCAGGATGAGGGGGGAAACAGGGGGGGGTAAAGCGAGGATGGGAGAACATGTTAGATATGTCAGAGATGGTGTGAGCATGGGTTGCGGTAAGCAAGCAGATGAAGGACGGTTAGGAGGAGGGGGACAGCAAGCATGGAGGGTTTCAACTGCCCAGGAGACGGTGTTCGGGAGGAACCGGAATGGTATTAGGTGAAGCATGGTGGCTGGCAGCAGAGTAATGACTGAATCCGGCGTCATGGGGAGCATGTGAAAGAAGAACAGAGGAGAAGGGGGGTCAAAAAGGGAGGGGAGTGTGTATGAATCAGGCAATGAAAATGAGTAGGGTAGTGGGGTGGATTCTGGAGAGTACAAGGGATGCGCGCCTGTGGGCGAGAGTAGCAGTGTCTCACCCCGAAAGATGTGAAGCCGCCTTTAAATCTCGAATCATGATTTCTGCAGCGTCCTGGAACACTCGAACCTTCTCTTCTGGCGAGAGGTCAGCTGGGATATTAGGCAGGAGCCCGAGAAGCTCAGTGCCTCCTTCAAGCCACCTAGCCCATTCTGGAATGTTCCCAAAGGACAACAGAAATGGGTGGGCAGATTGGCGCCCGTTGAACGATAGATTGGTCTGGTCCGAGAACAGAATGAGCGCTATAACTATGCCAAACTTCCGCACCCTTTCCTGCCACAGTGATGTAAAAGGCAAGGAAAGATGTATTGGATCCTAGGTTTCGATGCTCGTGTCCAACGCGACATGAGATGGCGTGGAACTTACCCAGGCCTCGAGCATCCAATCCGTGTTTGCAGGGGTACTGTAGCGGCGAACCCCATCAACCTTCCACTCGTGAGGCATGATGCTGAATCCCTTGACAGCCGACATCTTCTTGAACATGGCTTGAAGGAGCTGAGGGTGTTAAATATGGAAACAATGATGGAAAACAGAAGCGTAGGATTGATGGTTCCCTTTGGACCCATGGTTTAGTCGTCATCACTAAACACATTCCATTATGACGAACGTCACACTGCACCAGGGATACACTCACAGTTATCGCGTTTCGGCGCTTGAAGGTGAGAAACCCAATTTCGTGATCCACTTCGATCTCCTCGACGATCCATTCGTTCTCCGCTCCAAGGTCAAAGCTGTTCTCGTACTTCTCCATGTCCCTGTAGCTGTTCCAATCGTCCAGCTGCGTTGGATCTAATTTCGGATGTCTAACTAACTGTATCGTGTCGTTTATCGCCCCGTTGGTAAGGCCGTGAGATCGTGCCAAAATGCATATTTCTGCCTTAACATCGAGAATCTCCTCTGTAGGAGCTTCTTCCCCCACGAGTGTGGTGCTACACGTAGGGACTGCATCTGGAACACGCTCAGCCGGCTGCTGGTGCTGCTCAACTCCGTTCGGAACTGCTGCTAAGGGAATCGAATGCCTTGGCGCGGGAAGGGTTGCTGTTGCGAACGGGACAAAGGTATACTGCCTCTCAACGTCAAGACCCAGCTTCTTTCGTTTAGCAGCCTCTTGAGCCTTGCGTCTTTGGGCCCGCTTACAGCCTCCATGGTTAGCTTGATGGCTACGTACTGTTTGATAGCAGTACACACGCTTATTGCAGAACTCGCAACCCTGACCCTCCATTGAGCATATCTGTCCCCAGTACTGAATGGTGTTTGGTGGACCAGTTTGGGATGTGAATGGTAACACTGCTGTCCGTGGTGGTGAGATAGCGGCTGATCGTAAGGTCGATAGTTTACCAAAAGGCGTGGGAAGGATTTGGCGCGAACATGAATGGCGATCCGAGATTCG